ATATGTGCTGGAAATCTAACTCCTATACCTCTGGATGTAATCCCATTTGGGTTAGGGTTTTTCTTTGTTACTTTAATGAGGCCATTATCAGTGTAGAGTGTGTCTTACGCCAATCACTTTTGAGAAATAAAAGGAGCAAATCAGGCACAGAAAAAAGCAAGCAAAGACAGATGCCACACCACTTGAAGATCACCAAGAAATCGAGGAAAAGACGCTGAAAAGAAAGATCTTCCTTTTCCCAGAGGTGAGAGAGAGAGAACAGCCTTCCCCTAGAGCTGGTGCCCTGAATCTAGATTTCTAGCCTCCTATAAAGAGCCATGCTGGCACAGTGATTAAGAGCTACCGCTAACCAAAAGGTCGGCAGTTCAAATCCACCAGCTGCTCCTTGGAAACCTTAAAACACAACCTAATCTTATAGACTGACTTCTGCCTCAGTAACATACCTGCCTCTAATCCTGCCTCATTAACGTCATAGAGGTAGGATTTACAACACATAGGAAAACCACATCAGATGACAAAATGATGGACAATCATACAATACTGGGAATCATGGCCTAGCCATGGTGACATATTGTTGGGGGACATAATTCAATCCATAGCAGCAGCTGAGTGATTTAACCAGTGCCACCACCCTAGAAAACCCTATGTGGCAGTTCTACTTTGTCACGTGGGGGTCACTGTAAGTTGGAATTGACTCAACAACACCCAACAACAACACAACAAAGCCTCCTAAACTGTGAGAAAATAGATTTCTGCTTGTTAAAGCCACCCACTTGCGGTATTTCTGTTACAGCAACACTAGATAACCAAGGCACCCTGCAACAACTCTGAAGCTGCCTACAAGTCCACAATTCATAGGTGAGAAACCAGTGCTCTCTAGATTGTATCCCTTCTATCAGTCAACCCTAAGGTAATAATCAAAAAGGCTTGGGTCCAAAATGTTCACTGTGGAGTTATTTCCAATAGCAAAATTATTGCAACCTAAATTTCCAATGTAGGGCCACTGTGGCTGCCCTTTCACCAGCTTTGAGTTCCCATCCTCCTCCAGCTTCTGTGTGCTTTCAACAGTGTGTACCTGCAACCATCAGAAGATTGTCGTTTGGCATTGGAGCCCACTTTGCCAGTAAGCCTTAAGTGGCTGGGAGTTGACACACACCCCCATTCTGGACGCCAACAGCCCATGACGATTGGTGTAGGAGCACAAAGGCCCAGCTCCTTGCCTTCAGGGAACATCAACTCTGAGATGGAGCTGACTCTCCAGAGCTCCACATGCGATTAGGCTGAGTCTGAGAGCCCCTGGGTGGTGTAAATGGTTAACACCACTTGGCTGCTAACTGAAAGGTTGGATTTCACCCAGAGGCACATCGGAACAAAGGCCTGGGAACCTACTTCTGAAAAAATCAGCCATTGAAAACCCCAAGGGCATTGAGTTTATGTTAATGGTGGTGGAATGATTCAGAAAAGGATAGTGAGAATTGCTGTACAACTTGAAGAAAGTAATCATTGTCACATAGAAAGTGTTGAGATGGTGTACGTTTTATTATGAATATTTTCACCATAATTAAAAAAAAATCACTGGAAAAAAACTGTCCCTCCTCCTTCCCCCCACCAAAAAGAAAACCCTACGCTGACACATGCGTTCACCGTGAGTTAGAGTCGACTCTATGGCAACTGGTGTGGTTGGGACTTCGCCTGACACCATGCCTTTGCTTGGCCTTGTCCCTCTCCAATTCTCACTTTCCCCAGTCATTTACTGTCTCACCTGGGAGCACTTCCTTCATGAATCACTTGCACTATATCCTTGGCTTAGGGACTGCTTCTGGGAGAACGTGAAGTATGACACCTAACAATAGGGAAGAGTTAATGACATCCACTCAATACAGTATCACTCAGCCATTAAGAACATATCTTTGATGGAAATGTCAAGACACGGTAATATATTCTGGATATATTTTAAATGAAAAAGGAAATTTTTTATGGTATGATAAAACACATAAAGATTATACACTGGCAGAGGAGGAAAAAAAAGCCTAGAAAGACAGGTACAGAGATTTATCTATGTAACAATTATCTCTGATGTTAGAAATGTCAGTATAGTTTATTATTCTTCATACTGTTCTGTATTTTTCTAAAAGGAGCCTTGGTGGCCCAGTGGTTAAGCACTCGGCTGCTAACCTAAAGGTCAGAGGTTTGAACTCACCAGCCACTCCATGGGAGAAAGATGTGCCAGTTTGCTTCTGTAAAGATTACAGCCTTGGAAGCCCTACGGGACATTTCTACTCTGTCCTATAGGGTCGCTATGAGTTGGAAGTAACTTGACAGGAACAGGTTTGGTTTTTATTATGGTTGATGGAGCCCTGGTGGCAGAGTGGTTAAGAGCTATGGCTATTAAACAAAAGGTCTGCAGTTCGAATCTGCCAGCTGCTCCTTGGGGCTGTTCTACTCTGCCCTATAGGGTTGCTGAGTTGGAATCAACGCGACAGCAATGGCTTTGGTTGGGTTTTGGATTATGGTTTATTAATGTTTTTTATTCCCTGCATTTAGCACAGTAAATAGTATATAGTAAACCTAACCAAACCCACTGCCGTTGAGTCAGTTCTGACTCATAGCAACCCTACAGGACAGAGTAGAACTGCCTCATAGGGTTTCCAAGGCTGTAAATTTTATGGAAGCAGACTGCCACATCTTTCTCCCATGGAGTGGGCTGGTAGGTTAGAAATGCTGACCTTTGCGTCAGCAGCCATGCGCTTAACCACTGTGCCACCAGGGCTCCTTGTGTATAATAAGAACTTTATAGATGTTTGTAAAATAAACTGTAATCAATGGAAATTAACTGTTCCCATTACTATTTCAGGTAGCAGCAGCAACAACTGTTAATTGCTAATTTTTTTTAGTGCCAATTTTCTTAACACTTAACTGCATTCTTAAATACTTAAGAATAATAGCAATCATTTATTAAGCACCTACTGTATACCAAATGGAGCCCTGGTGGCGCAGTGGTTAAGTGATATAGCTGTTAACCAAAAGGTCGGCAGTTCAAATCTACCAGCTGCTCCTTGGAAACCCTATAAGGCAGTTCTACTCTGTCCTATAGGGTTGCTATGGGTTGGAATCGACTCAACGGCAAGGGGTTTGGTTGTTTTTTTTTGTTTTTGTTTTTGTTTTTGGTATACCAAACACTGACTCTAGAGCTTTATATTATATATCTAGCTGAATCTTTAACTTACAAAGCAGACATTAGTATTTCTGTTTTACAGGTGAAGAAGACTGAAGCCTAGAACATTTAAATAACCTGCCCAGATCATACAGTTGGTATATGGAGAAGAAATGTAATGCCTCAAAGTCAACAATCTTAGCCAGTCCTGCTGCCTTGCGTGATGAAGTTCAAAGGGTCAACCTAGGAAAAAGTGAAGAAACACTGCTGCTTTCCTTCTTTTTCCCTGTCCTGTGCTTAAAAGTCATCGAGTATTTGGAGTAAACAAATGACTAGTAGTTAAGAGCTCATCTGCTAACCAAAAGGTCGGCAGTTCGAATCCACTAGCCGCTCCTTGGAAACCCTATGGGGTGGTTCTACTCTGTCCTTTAGGGTTGCTGTGAGTTGGAATTGACTCGATAGCAATGAGTAGGTAGGTACAGCTTCACAAGGCACAAGAATTGAACATGTCTGTCGCTCTAGAGCAGTGGTTGTCAGCTTGGGGTGGGGGTGGAGGACACTGACTCCCATGGATCATTCGGCAATGTTTCCAGACATTTTTGGTTGTCACAGCTGGGTGAAGGGTGCTAGTGGCATCTAGTGGGTAAAGGCCAGTGCTAAACACCCTACAATGCAGAGGACAGCCCCTCTCTCCCCAAAGAATGACTCAGCCTCAGACATCAGTAATGTCGAGGCTAAGAAACCCCACTCCAGAGCACAAAAACCACACACATCCTCACTCTTCCTCAAAGTGTCACACGATACCACCACTGATTTTTCTTAATTTAGATTCAAGGTCTCCGTCTGAAGTCATAGGCTGTTTCTTGTCAAAGCAACAACTGCAATTGACACCAATTTACACAGTGGTTCTCCCTGGAATCTCTAACCTTCTTCCCTATGTGGGAGAGGAAGGAACTAGCCAACTGCTTTTCTGAGTCCTAGAAGGGAAAGTCTGTGTTACCAGTAATTGAAGGTTAGAACTGTCAGCCCAAGGTATCAAATTTATCATCCCAAGTTCCTCTAAAGCCTGTTGAAAAGAAACTTTGCCACTGAAGGTAAGGATATAACCAGTTGCCATCGAGTCGACTCTGACTCATGGCGGCCCCATGTATGTCAGAGTAGAACTGTGCTCCGTAGGGTTTTCAATGGCTGATTTTTAGGAAGTAGATCACTATGCCTTTCTTCCAAGGCACCTCTGGGTGGACTTGAACCTTTAACCTTTTGGCTAGCAGTCGAGCCCATTAACCATGTGCACCACCCAGGGGCTCCAGAGGTAAGGATACAGGCATTACACTGACCTTGCTGCCATGAATGTCACTAACACTGGGCTGAGTCACCTGCAGAAAGATGAACCCAGCCTCCCTCCTCTGCCTGCCTCCTAAGATTCTTCCTCAGGGAAGCAGCAGCAGGGAAACCTTGCCGTCATTACCGGTCATCACCCTTCTGCTGGCCTGTCCTCCCCACCTACTGTCTGGGCTCTCCCCATTGGCCTTTTCTGCTGAACTGAGGCAAGCTCGATCATTCAGGTTCAGGCACCAGAACTGACAGGTACAGAGAAAAAATGTAAAATGTTCACGCACGCCCTAAACTATTTTTCCGACTACTGTGCTTACTCCCTGGGAACTTTCTGAACCCATTATATCCAGTTAGGTGCTTATCTAAGCAAAACTGCACCCAAACCCCTGTTTTCTTCTCTTCCCTCCTGAAAAGGGAGCAGGGGCCAGCTAGAGAGGGAAGGAGACTTGGCAGGTGAATGCAGAATTAGGTCTCCAATCTTGCCCTGTGCAAATTACCCCAGAAATGCCACCTGAGGGGGTCCTGTTCTGTCTGCGGGGGTGCCCATGTCTTCTCAGGAGGACAGCGCAGAGTCAGTGGGAGGCCTTTGAACCCCGTGAATGATAAAGATGCTTTTTCTGATGCCTTGGTGGTGTTAACAGAGGATGTGAGCTTTAATCAGGAAGCAACCCCACAGCTCATGCACCCTGAAGTCAGCTGCCTGGGAAAAAGAAGCAAAAAAACACTGTATTCCACTGGGTAGATAGCACTCTAGATTTCTAGGGCTCAACCCCACAGCTAAAACCCACTTCCCTCCATTGAGATGAGGATGGTATTTCCTAGGCTGCCAGGTAAAGACGTATCTGATATTAAGTACAATTTGTCCATCTATTTAGTCTATAAATATTAAGGGAGCACCTGTGTGCCAGGCACTGTGCTGGGGTGAGGACGAAGACAAAACTAACTTGACACCAGTTGTTCTCAACTCAGGCTGATTTTTGTCCCTCAAAGGGCATCTGGTAATGTCTGCAGATATTTTTGGTTGTCACATCTTGGGGGGTGGGGGCTACTGGCATCTTGATGGGTAGAGGCCGGGGATGCTGCTCAACATCCTACAATGCACAGGACAGTCCCCTAAAACGAGTTATCCAGCCCAAAGGGTTAATAGTACTGTGATCCAGAAACCTTGGTTTACAGGGGAAACAGACTTTAATCAAATAACCACATTACTGAATTGATATTTACATTCACTTTCACATATTTACTTTACAGATGCTCTGGAAGCAAGGACAATGTTCAACAAACGAAGCCAAGAAACACCTGACTGGGGGCGGTGGGTAGTGGTCAGGGAAGGCCCCTTGAGTAGGGACCCCAGGACAGAGATAGGATAAGGTAGACATAACTGGATAAACGGAAAGAGGGCTGGGACAGGATGGGTGGGGGAAAGGAAGAGCGTTCCAGACAGAGGCTCTCAGGTGTAAAAAAAAAAAAGCCTTGTGTTAGAAAGTAACATGGATGATTCTGGAAATACTTTTCTTCTCACGTCAACATCATCTCACGGTGGTTGTAGGACAAAGTCAGTCCCTGTGGCCATGACCATGACAAAGTCAGCTCCCAGCACACACACCAGAACCCAAACTAGGCAGAAGTCAGAGGAACGGTTCACGCTTCATTGGCCATCCTGTTCTGCTGCTTTTATCCCCAACCATCAGCCACTGTGCGTTACAAGAGACAGGAGTCCAACAACTATTTTTTTCTTCTTAAACTTGACACTAAAAGCATGACCCATAAAAGGAAAAATTGATAAACTGGACCTCATCAAAATTAAAAACTGTAAAAGTCCCTGTGAAGATGATGAAAAGATAAACTACAGATGAGAGAATATATTTGCAAACCACATATCTGACAAAGGGCTAGTATTTAGAGTATATAAAGATCTCTTAAAACCCAACCATAAAAAAAAAAAAATTAGAAAATGGGTGAAAACATGAACAGACATTTCAACGAAGAGGATATACAGATGGCAAATAAGCACATGAAAAGATGTCCAATACCATTAGCCGTTAGCGAAAGGCAAATTAAAACCATGGTGAGCTATCATCACACCAACAACGGGTCCACTTAGGGTCTCTACAGTCCTTCTTAACATTTCCCTCAACAGCAAAACACTCAAGTAGTGTGATACCTAAAAGCCAAAAGGAATTTTAAAAGCCACCTTTTCCTAGCTATCATTTCTCAGTTGTGGGCCATTTCCTTTGTTTCTTTGCTTTAGGAGGGACTCTGAGCTGGCGCAACAGTTAAGTGCTTGTCTGCTAACCAAAAGGCCAGAGGTTCGAGTCCGTCCAGCAGCTCCGTGGGAGAAAGACCTGGCGATCTGCTCCTGTAAAGATTACAGCCTAGGAAACCCTAAAAGCCAGTTCTACTCTGTCCTATAGGGTCACTATGAGTCGGAATCGATTCGATGGCACACAACTACATCACAAAGTGGTCCAGTACGTGACTTTGTCAGAGCTTCGTATCTGGTCACGAGTCTGCAGGGGAAGATGAACGGAGCGGCCTTGTCCCCTGTGTGGTGGCTGGCCCCAAAGAAGCCCAGCTGCAGGCAGCCTCTGCGAAGGGCCCTGGTGGGGTGCTGGGAGATGACAGACAGCCCCGGCCGACTTAGGGAATGGGCATCAGACTGGTGGTTTTCCTTGTGCTCTTTCCAAGGCTTCCAAGCTCATGAATAAGGAAAAGTGTTTTCCTACCAACCTGAACTGAATAGGGTGAGACTGGATTGAAATAATGTTTTAAAGTTGCACTGTGGCAGAGCCAGATGAGCCCTTTTGTGGTGGCCAAGGGACTCAATGGTAGAATACAAACTTTAAGCCCACTCTCATCACTGGTGTTTTACTTACTTAGAGGAAGTTCCTAATACTAAAAATGCATAATCATGGCCCTAAGAGGCCATTTAGAAATGATTTTGAGATACATTAGGAAGCTATTATAATAATAACAACCAGAGAGAGGAAGGAAACCAGGAGGAAAAAAACTTAAATTTTACCAAACAGAGCAGAACCTAAAACATAGTGTTTCTTAAAAAAAAAAAAAAAAAAAAGTAGAAGTAAAAAGATATATTTAAAAAACAAACAGACCACTTGCTGTCGGGTTGATTCTGACTCATGGTAACCCCATGTGTGATAAAGGAGAACTATGCTCCATAAGGTTTCAATGGCTGATTTTTCAGCAGATCATCAGGCCTTTCTTCCAAGGCACATCTGGGTACATTCAAACCACTAACCTTTCAGTTAGCAGCTGAGCACATTAACCATCTGCAACCACCCAGGGATAGAAAGATATATAGAAGTTCCTTTATCAGTTTTCATAGAAATTCTAGGACGGAAGGCAAAAAGTCCTCCTCAACTTGCTGTTCCCCAGGCTCCACATCACAGTGTAACAGTACTAGCCATTCGTCCATTCAAGAATCCAAGGGGAGAGTCTGGGAGTCCTCCTTCATCCTTTCGCTTACCTCACTCAAACCATCAACAAGCTCTACCATTCTACCTCCAAGAGATTTCTTCAGTAGTCTACCTCTCTCCAGCTCCTCTGCCCCCAACCACACCACCACAATCTCTCGAAGAGGACCTTCGTGTCTGATGTCCAGCTGACTGCCTGCACTGCACCCAGTGGCATGCTGACAGGGTAAGCTGATCATGGCCATACCACACCACCACCACCCGCAGCAAACCCTCCAACAGCTCCCTACCATCTTACAAGCCCTTTCCCATAGCCAGGGAGCCTGCCCAGAGAAGGACCTGGTCTCCTACTCAGATACGTGGTCCTCCTTGCAGTTCTCAGAACCTGCCAGGCTCATTCCAGCCTCAGGCCTCCATGCTCATGTTCCCTCTGCCTGAGCACTCACCTCCTCTCTTTGTGCCTGTGGGCAGGGCAGGGACGTTGTCCTGTTCACCACTGTAGCCCTGCATCCAACATGGCACCTGGGACACCAAGATGCTCAATATATGATAGAAGGTTGATAAAAAGGCCAGGCCTTCAATGATTTACTTAATTCACATCGCGTATTAACGTTAATAGGTGCCCTAGCGGAGCAACAGTTAAGTGCTTGGCTGCTAACCGAAAGGCTGGTGGTTCAAACCTTCCAGCGGCTTTGTGGGAGAAGGACCTGGCGATCTGCTCCCTTAAAGATTACAGCCTTAGAAACCCTAAGCAGCAGCTCAATCCTATACGGCTGCTATGAGTTGAAATCAACTAAACAGCACACGACAACAAAAACAACTAATGTTACAAAAGTCACCATCTTAGAAGTAAGCTGTAGTCTAAGGTATTTTCGAAAGTCCCTTTTTTTTTTTCCTCAAAGAACATATGCTTATATTCTAAAGCAAAGCTTCACAACCTTGGCATTATTGACATTTGGGCTGGATAATTCTTTGTTGTGGGGAGGTGTCCTACGCATTGTAGGAAGTTTAGCAATATCCCTGGCTTCTACCTGCTAGATGCCAGCAGCACCCTCTGCCACCTGTATCAACCAAATGTCCCTAAACACTGACAAATGCCCTGAGGGTGAAGAGAGGTATCAGCTCCAGCTAAGAATCACTGTTCCAGAGACAAAAAAGTTAGAAATGATGGTGAGGATCTTAATTCTGCCCACAATAACAACTACTTAACCCATACTTTGTATCACATTAGTAATAATGCATTTTTATTACAGTATTCCCTAACCACCATTTACAGCACCATTTCAGTGAGGACACGAATTCCAAATTGCTAGTAAGGTTTATGAACAACCATAGAGGAGTTGGTTGGTCCATCCTGAGACTCAGCTCAACTCACTATATCAGCACTCTAGGTGATGCTGATGTGAAATGGGTGACAAAAAAAGGACTGTGGCTTATGAGGATCCCATGCACAATGGAATAAAACGCTGCCCACTCCTGTGTCATCCCCGTGATCGGTTGCAGATTGGACCATTGTCATCCATAGGGTTTTCATTGGCTGATTTTCAGAAGTAGATCACTAGGCCTTTCTTCCTAGTCTGTCTTAGTCGGGAAGCGCCACTGAAACCTGTTCAGCATCCTAGCAACACACAAGCCTCCACTCACAGATAAGTGGTAGCTGTGCATGAGGTGCACTGGCCAGGGACTGAATGCTGGTCTCCTGAACAGAGGCAAGAATTCTACCACTAAACCATCAATGGCCTCAGGGAATGAACAGGGAGTCAGAAAAGAATCGGGGGAAGGACAGGGCTCCTCATATCTGATTTGACCATTCATTTGTGTTTAGTACTTAAAATAAAATTGAGAAATATGATAACAACTGAGTGCTCTGGGTCCGTCCTGAGAGCACCATTCCCAGAATCTGTAGGCAGTCAAGCATCCTCTTCGTTTCCATGGTTTGGCACAACCCAGGAATGAAATGTGAAGGATTGACTCCCAGTGCTGATCCAACACCCTCTCCTCTACAGCTAATCTAATGCTACTGAGCCAGATGTCCTTCTTCAGGAATGCATAATGACTTCCTAGTTTACCTGCCACGCTGCAACAATAATTTTAATTCTTGGCTAAACTGCAAATGTCCCACGAGTCATTTAAATAAATCTCACATGTATGAAATAGTCAATTGTGTTCTCAGAGCAATTCCCACCTGTAAAAATACAGCCACACTGAACATATTTTTTTCTGCAGCTAACTGAAAATACTGCACATATAATGCATGATTTAAAGC